ACCCGATACTGAGTATCAGGTTGGCACATGGAGTCACTGCATATTTTTCATTCACATATTCCTTCTGTCCATGCATATATACAGCTATTTCAATTAAAATTAAGGTTGTCCCCGAGCAAAGCGGAAAAGTCGAATACGAGCGCGAAAGGCTGCTGGGAATCGCTAAAAAATTCATTATTTTTTAGCGATTCCCAGCAAGCCTTTCGCGCTCGTTTTCGACTTTTCCGCTTTGCTCGGGAACAACCTTAATTGAAATAGCTGTATACGGTCACGCAATCGAAGTTATTTACGGTTTTGAGTGCCTGCTCTGGAAGGGATAAAATAGAAGCTGGGATTTGCTAAAAAAAATTTCACTCGGAAAATGGGACTTATACCACCGGGAATGGGAGTTGGCAAACTAGCAATTTAACCGTTAGAAATGGGATTTGGTAAATCATCGGGTTGTCTATACAACTCTCCAAGTACACAAATAGTAAGAGTCCTGTATATATGTAATACGTATGTGGTACGACAAAGACGTTCCCTGTACCAGGTCGTAATAGTAGAGAGTTATAGATTGACGTTTACGGCAAACGTCAAACCGCTAACGAAGTTTTTGATTTTATAACTCTATTATAACAGCTTTTACACCAGTTTTGAAATATATTAAACAATTGTTAAACTTGTGCTCTTTAGCAATGATTTAAGAAAGCAAATTAACCACTAGTTACGTATTCACCAAAGCAGTAAATTAAGATTTAGCGTTTGACGTTTACTTTGGCGTATAAATTTCATGCTTTAACGACTACAAGCCCTCGTAGCAGTTCAAGCATGAAATTTATACTTCAAACGTAAACTTCAAACGCTAAATCTTAATTTACTGCTTTGGTGAATACGTGACGAGTGGTTAATTTGTTTTCTTGAATTATTGTTAATATATATATATTAATAATTGCTTAATATATTTCAGAACTGGTGTAAAAGCTGTTATAATAGAGTTGTAAAATGACAAACTTCGTTAGCGGTTTAACGTTTGCCGTAAACGTCAATCTTTAACTCTCTTAATAACATCCCACCAGTACATGTATGTAAATCAACATGCTTTGATTTCAAGGGTGGAAGTAGTGTAGATATAAAGACCGGTTTCCATTACGTCTGGACACTATTGAGCATGCGCCGTAGAGTTATGACGTGACCACGAGCGGCTCGCTAGTGACACACGTGCATGCTTTGAAAATTTAAAAAATTCAAATTTCAAAGCGTACACGCGCAACCGAATACGCATATGATTGAAATAAACCAATCGCATTGTTTTGAACACCAAGTTTTGATAAAAATTAAAATCGACGGAGATTGCGTTTCGTGCGCGCGCGTGCGATGTATCATTTCGTTCGCTTCGCCCGCGCAGGCAAAGATGCAAACCGGACTTAACCATCTATTGATTCATCTCCGGATTTTTACGAAGTCTGTAAATTGTCCCTACTGTTATATTTATTTTTAGTTAAATGTTCTAGATAATAATAGATTTTTAACCTCCATTGATCTGTGTATAAACAGCATCCTCAAATATGATCTTGGTTAGTTTGGACATGCTCGAACGCCTGAAAAAGGATGATAAGGTTTTTTCCTCGTCACTCTTAGGCAAAAATACCCGATTTAGTATTTCTAATAGATTTTGATGGGTACAGGAATTGCTAAACAAATTTAACTCTTGTAGGTTGTCGCATCCTTGCAAAAGATATAAAGGCCACTCTTTAAGATCGCAACCAGATAAATCCAACTTTTTCAACGCATAAGAACGTCGCAAAGGCGACAAAGTAGATTCATCGAAACAGCTTAAATGGTTATTAGATAGATTCAGTTCTTCCAGTTTGTAACAACCGTCAAGATCTTCAGGCAATTTTGTAAGACCACAAGAAGATAAATACAACTTTTTCAACTTATTTCCAAACCTACGTATCAAAGCAGATATATCTGAATGGCTTAAACGGTTGTTAGACAGATTCAGTTCTTCCAGTACGTAGCTATTTCCAAGATCTTCAAGCAACTCAGTAAGACCACAACAAGATAAATCCACTTTTTTCAAACTACGCCAAGGTATATATTTCAAGGAAGATATATCTGAATGACTCAGACTGTTGTTAGATAGATTCAGTTCTTCCAGTTTGTCGCAATCTTTAAGATCTTCAGGCAACTTTGTAAGACCACAAGAAGATAAATGCAACTTTTTCAACTCATTTCCAGACCTACGTATCAAAGTAGATATATCTGAATGGCTTAGACGGTTGTTGGATAGATTCAGTTCTTCCAGTACGTGGCAATCTCCAAGATCTTGAGACAACCCAGTAAGACCACAAAAAGATAAATCCACCTTTTTCAAACTACGCCAAGGTATATATTTCAAGGAAGATATATCTGAATGGCTTAGACTGTTGTTAGATAGATTCAGTTCTTCCAGTTTGTTGCAATTTTTAAGACCTTCAGGAAACTTTGTAAGACCACAACCAGATAAATTCAATTTTTTCAAATCGTTTTGAGAATTACATATCAAAGTAGATATATCTGAATGGCTTAAACGGTAATGGTTAGACAGATTCAGTTCTTCCAGTTTCTGCAGACAATTTTCAGGATGTTCAGGCAACTCAGTTAGATCACAACCAGATAAATCCAACCTGTTCCAATCAAGTCGATGATGCAGATCCTCTGTTTTTGTTCGTTTGGCGATTTTTATTAGGTTGATGCTCTTTGTCTGACTTGGAATAATCTGATGAGGTGGTGAGCTAATGACATTCTTAACATTTTTCCCCTTTTCAAGTTCATTTGAAGCGTCTAATTTTCCTGAATCCAAATGGGAAAATTGTTCGGCCATAACTGCAAGTAGTCATATACCTGTACAAACAAACAATGAATTTATGTTAGAAGATGTTAGCTTATTTTACCAAGAAAACAGACCTAAAAAATTAGTTTCTTTCTCGCAGCAAAATCCAACAATGTAATTAAGTTCCGGTGTAAACCAAACGTAACAATTTCTGTACGGGTAGGTTTCAGCGCAGGCTTTTAGCCAGGTTGTCAAAACTGGCCGTCCAAGGAATACCGTGGGTGTGGCAACCTATTTTCGTAGACATAGTCAAAAAATGTGGCACTTGAAATTAATTGTCATGAGCTCAAAATTCAGTGTTTTTTCGACAAAGAAATCAAACCGTATCAATAAACACAATAAACAGCAGCTGATAACGTTTGAGGAATTCAAGAAATATCACAAAGCTTGCGAGTTGCTGTTGATTGTTGCGAGTTGCTTAATTTTAAGGCGGATTTAGATTACACAACTTTTTCCTGAAACTGTCGCATGCAACCTGCTTGCTTGCAACGCGAGTTAATTGCACTGTGTAAACCAAGCACACAACTTACCTACAACAGGTTGAATGCGACAGTTTTAGGCAAAATTTGTGTAGCGAGAATTGGCCTTTACCAGACACGTCCATGGCCGTCTATTCAAAAATTGTCGTGTAAATTCAATGTAGTAGGACGACAAAAAAATTCCCGTAGAATATGAGAATATTTTCGTGCGAAGATATTTTGTTTATGAATTTCCTGGCAACGGTGCTATCGGAATTTTCCAGCACTGAAGATGAATTTCATATCAGGCTGGTGAGCCCTGTTCAAACTCACTTTCACTGACTTGCAATGTGACTGATTAAGACATTAAAAGGCATCTGACCCAAAAATAAACGGTGTTATTTTTTAGTCAATTTGAAAAATCATTGAAAACTGTACAGTAACTTCTTTGACAGATTTTTGTTTTCTTGCTTAGTTTTGGAGATATTTAATTTTGTATATGCAAAGGACCAACTTCCTACATCACACGTGCATAATGATTTAGCCCTAAAAGCTGTATATCTTCAATACGACTACATGGGTGTTGTTGTGGACAAATCTCGTGCTCATTATTCATTTTGAGGAATTTATTTGATAGTGATAAAATTATATAACATTTTAAAGTAAGTCATTATGCATGTGTGATCTTTCAAATTGGACTAAAAAATAACACCGTCAATTTTCGAGTTATATGCCCTTTTAATAATTTTAAACGATTCCCAAGTGCATGCTGTACGCAATGCAAATGGCATAGGCAGCCCTTCCCAACGGCCCCCTCGCGCGTTGCCTGCCTACCTGAATACTTCATGTATTATAATTATTTAAAGCGCCTGGGTACGAGGCAGCAGCAAATATATGTACTGTACTCACTTAATAATAATGCGTCAAACGCTTAAAAATAAATTATCCGCGCTCAGCATGAATCATGTGTTATATTTTTGGCTGGAAAATTTGTTTCAAAACATGTTATTCAACTGCAAATTCGAAACAAATATGGTCATATCTCACCAGATAAATAATGTCCAATGAGGTTAGTCTTTGTTTTTTTTAAAACATTTGTAATCCAGCGTTTTGCATTCTAAAAGTTCACTTTTTGACAAGCGACGAAATGACATATTGCACCTTGCAACGACAATATAAACAAACATGTTTAGCTCTCGCTCTAACCCTAATTACGGATTTGCCCGCAGAGTTAGCATATTGATTAGCCCGCGTAGCAGGCGCTTTATTTTATTGAAGGTTTTGAGGATTTTTGAATAAATGGCGGGTTAGAAAAAAGGGCAAGAAAAAACAGGCGAAGGATTTAAAACCTTCAATAAAATAAAGCGCCTGCTACGCAGGTTACACATTGATCGTCTTTGTCCTTCTGAAATAACTCCATCAGCGCTTGAAAAAGCTTGATATGATATATGTAAAGATGATATCGATAATACCAAGAAATATTGATATTCAGATATATCGAAAATTTCAATATCGAGTAATCGGTATTTAATTATCGGTATATGGAGCACCCCTAGATAACATTTATATATTTATCAATGTTTCGACTATATTTCAGTCATCATCTGGATAAAAAAATCCTGATGATGACTGAAATATAGTCGAAACATTGATAAATATAAAAATTTATTGATCTTTGGAGTTAAGCCCTGATCAAACGAGAACGCAAGTCATCGCAAGTTTTAACTTGCACTTGCTTGCGCCTCGTTTGACCACCAACTTGCGTTGACTTGCGTTAACTTGCGAATGATTTGAGCTGGTTCAAACTTCATCGCAAGCTTTTTTAAACTTGTGAGCACTTGCGATACGTTTGATCAGAAGTGCAAGCTCAAGCAAGTTTTTTGAGACCAGTTTCCATGGACACCATAGTCCCTAGTCTATAAAATGACCTTTTTCTGGTCTTCGCTTAATCCATTCTCTTGTTTTTCCACGTTTCCAAGCCTGAGACGTTTCGTCTTCATCAAGTAGAGAAAATAACACAATGATGTGGCAGCTTTTCGCTTCGTTTTACATGGCATTTTCAAAAGTTTTTACATTTAAATGACGGCCATGTTTTGTTTAGATTTTTACAACTTTGCAAAATTACAAAATTACCCGCACACGGGCCAAATATTGCAAATTGTTGCGAAACTTCCGTATCGTTTGATCGGTCCCATCGCAATTCAGGGCAAGTTAGAACAAGTTTACTTGCGATGACTTGCGTTCTCGTTTGATCAGGGCTTTACACTTGTTTTGTATTTTGTTAAAATACTCTGTGGTTCTAACAATTATTACAGTTTTGTACTTTATTTTAAGGAAGGCTGTACAGTAAGAGGGAGGATGTCTACAGGGGTGATAGCACCAGTGGTGCTAAAGGGGTGGTGGTGGAGAACACCCTCCCACTTAGTCAACATAAAACATAAATTGGACAAGGTCACAAGAAGAAACAAAAATGAAATGCTTTTTGTTATTTTTAGCGCAATGTTTTTTGACAAATAAGTACTATGAATGACTATGGAGGTAGTATAGAGGCAGCTAGTGCTATGAATAATTTAACCTGAGTATCAGGCCCTTATGTTTTCACTTGCCAGGATTGATTGGCGGTGGCGAATGAAGGAGGGCCTGATACAATTCTTTAATTCTTTACCACGCTGCATGTAAAATACCAGATTCTGGCTTTTTCGTCTGATTGGCCGATTAGACAAAAGATCATTTGATTGGTTGGTGCTAATTAGATTATACTATTGTTGTTGATATATTTTATAAACTAAATGGCTGAATTTAAATTAAAACTGCAGTGAAATTATAAAATAATCACAAATTAGCAAAATATATTGCAAATGTAGCTTATATTAAATTGCCACCCAATTGCACTGTCGACGAACTGACGTTAGTTATAAAGTATATATATATATATATATATATATATATATATATATATATATATATATATATATATATATATATATATATATATATATATATATATACTTTATAACTATACGTCAGTCTGTCAATAGTGCAATCAGGTGGTGATTTAATATAAGCTACATTTGCAATATATTTCGCTATTAAATTTGTGATTATTTTTGTTAATGTTATAATTTCACTGCAGTTTTAATTTAGTTCAGTAGTTTTAATTTAGTTCAGCCGTTTAGCAGAGCCGTTTAGTGGCTGCTATGCTATAATTAGATTGTTGTTGTCGTTGTGTGAAATTTAAATTTCTCCTGCAACATTTTGATTGGATACTAAGAGGCCGATTACATGGAGAATTTTCAACCCCAGGGTTGAACTCAGCCTGTTAACCGGGTTGAAATTTTTTGCGATTACATGGACAATTTCAACCTCGGGGTTGAAACGCTATACTATACGTTCTCGGCAACGATTCTGGGAAGTAAAAAAAGCCTTCATTTTGTTTTCTTGTAATAAATAGTCACTACCATGCATGCTCAAATAACTCATGATAATTTCAGCACTGGGTTGAAACGATTACATGACAAAATTTTCAACCCAGGGCTGAGTTCAACCCCGGGGTCTGAAATTTCAACCCTGCTAGCTGAAATTTCAACCCCGGGGTTGAACTCAGCCCTGGGTTGAAAATTTTGTCATGTAATCGCACGTTTGATTTTGATAGAATTTTGTATTACAGACAGGGCTGAAATTTCAACCCAGAAAACAGGGCTGAGTTTTTCAACCCCGGGGTTGAAAATGCTCCATGTAATCGGCCCCTAAATATAAACTTTGCTGTGGGTGCAAAGCAATCGGATTAAGGTTTGTGTCAGGCTCTATTTGTAAAATAGAGCCTGACACTCAGGTTACATTGCTATTTATGTAAACACTATATGTAAACACATACAGTGCACATTTGTCAGGTTCACGTGCTGATGTCAGGTTTATTTCTGTCACTTCTCCCTTTTTCCCGCTACTTTACTTTTCCTGCACTCATAGACACTTCCGGTTAATTAATAAGTGGGCAGCAACGACCATGTCAATAATTGTATCAGGCTTTATTTTTCTTGTCTTCTTGGCGCCACCCGCCTCGCCGCCCACGCCCTTTGCAGCGGAAGACAAGAAAAATAAAGCCTGATACTCTGGTTATGAATAATTATACAATGCTTCTTGTTATTTTTAGCACAATGTTTTTAAAGAACAAGGCAGAACTATGAATGATTATATAACATGTCCATTTGATCCATAGCATGATTTCCATGCACTTAGGATGTTGCTCAACTTTCGGAAAGCGTAAAAATACACTTGCTTGCGGCTCGAGTATTTTTACGCTTTCCGAAAGTCTTGTGATTGGTCACCATTTGACAAATGGCGACAAATAGTGCCCATTTGACAAGTCTTAATTTGAGCTGGCAAGCACAGCATGACTTCATTTGACAAATGAGGTTTGTTTTCAAATGGGACAAATGGTTTCCATTGAAAGGTTATAACCATTTGAACTGTTTTATTTCAAATGGAACAAATGTTGTCAATTTACAACAAATTAAGTAGGCCAGGATTTAATAGATAGGAAGCTTTTAGGCCTTTTATTACTTACTGTAGTCTGTAGATTTAATTGCATTCCAAACTCACAAGAATACCACAGCAGGTGGGTAATAAAAGATGCATATTATAAATATTTCTAGAAATGGACAAAATAAAGGCGTAATCAATATTTTCGCTTTAAGCGGCTTGAAAAAAACTACCTAGAAATAACCCTAAAAATCCACGTCCTCCATTGATACTTTTTATAATCCGCTACCATTCGTATTCTCGTTCGTATTTATAACATATCAAGTATTACACACCAAATATTTAACAGTAAAAATTATCCTGAATACATCGTTCTCAAATTTTTCAAAACTTCTCCTGTTTCATACTTTATATCCCGGCGTACTTAATCGATGAAAACCGATCATTGTTAATCCAATCGATCAATCGATGGTAATCGATGTTAATTACTTAATTGATATCGATTGACATTGTTCAATCAATGACCAATCAATAGTCACAAAAAGTTATGGCCAATTGTATCGATTATTATCGATTTTCGTCGATAGTTTATCGACAAAATGCTTTTGATCTTTACTGATTTATATCCTAAATAGTCGCTGCGTGTCAGCCATATTCGAGCTAAATAGTAAATCTGTTCCCAATTTACGACATTAAAGTACGTATTACAGACATTCCAACCTCCGATTCCTCAAAACCGGGACACTTCCCAATTTTCTCATTTTACTCAAATAAACGCCTCCCTCGAATAAACGCCTCCCTCGAATAAATACCGCAGACCTGCCAAGTTCGGAAGATAAGAATGCGTGACCAGGGCTGTTGCAAGGACTTTGCCTTGAAGGGAGGTTAGATTTACCGCCTGAATTGTTTCAATTCACCTGATTTTGCGACGCCCGCGAGGCGCTATCATGGTTGGCGCCGAGCAAAAAATTTTGAAAATTTGAATTCTCTAGACCGTCGGAAATGGCATTTTTAGAGTCTTTCCTACCCACTGCCCAAAAATGAAGATAAGTAAAATAACTACTGATCAATATGACAGTGTTACTTACAGTTTAATGTGACTAGGAAAATTGAGAGAATTTTGGAAATTTGGAGTCTCCAGATCATCAGAAAGCGTATTTGGCCATGTACCCCCAGGCCACGATGCATCTGAACGTCTTTATTTGGTTGGTCGATTGTTAACTCTCAGTAATTCTACGTTTGCACACAGAGTTGTCAATGAGTTATTGCACGAAAAGTGGGATAGCGTCATATAATGGTAAAAATGCGTAACTTTAAGATCATTTTAGTCATGCGTGCGGGACAGCGGGAACAAAAGCAGAATGCGTAACTTTCACGCGAAATGCGGGAACCTTGGCAGGTCTGAATTGCCGCGCTTTTCTCAATGATGTGGTGTCCATTTGGGTTAGTGTTGAAATTGGCTGAGTTGAAACCCATAAGTAATATAACATCTTCTTGCGCCCGCTTCTGTTACGCTGCTTTACTTCATGTAGCCCTGGCAAAATGAATAGGAATTGAAAGCGAATGCTAAATTGTAAAACAACATATGTCACTCTGGTATATCACGAGAATTACAACGATCGGCGACAAACTCGGCAATTGTATTGAACCAAACGAATTTCATTAATATTTGTCACATGAGCCTTATTTGAAGAATACAACTATTAAAATACTACAGAAACCGGGACAATAAGAAGAAAACCGGGACACCGGGACAACGTAGTCCAAACCGGGACAGTCCCGGGTAAACCGGGACGGTTGGAATGTTTGGTATTAATTAAATTACGACGTTACCTGTTTGATTGCATGCATATCAACAGAGGATTATTTCATCAATGAAATTCGATAAAAAAATCGATAATCAATCGATGAAAGTCACAGCAAAACAAGCCATCGATTATTCATCGATTTCCAATATCAATCGATTAATAAATATCGATTGGTATTGATTGATATCGACACTCATCGATTTCATCGATTAAGTACGCCGGGTTTATATACTCCCTATTTATAGGTCACTGGTCAACTGTCGGTTGACAATTATTATATAATACCTTATTGAATTCTGATCATTTAATTGGCTGTTTATGGTCACGTGATATTGAATAGAAAATTGCATTTCCCAAGAGTGCAATGGAATACGTTCCATTGCACTCTTGCGAGTGCAATTGTACTATACGTTTTATTCCATTGCACTCTTTGTGTTTTCGATAAATCGCATCCGTCAAAATGCTTCTCGTACGGCGATCGCAGTTTATTTTAACCGATATTCGAAACTCAGTAAATGGGATTTAATGCAAATACGACTCGTCAAAATGGCGGGAGCTTACAGTAAACCTTTTAATATTAGTCTATTTTGGTATTATATAAAACAAATAATGGATGTTTTTATTCGTGCAATGGTAAAAATATTTTCATTCGGTGAAAGATGGAATGTTCCATTCAACTCAGCTATCGCCTCGTTGAATGGAACATTCCATCCTTCACCTCATGAAAATATTCTTACCATTGCACTCATAAACATTCATTATTTGTATACTGTATTATGGCTATTCTATTCACTGCTACAAAACATTTGCTGTTACCTTTTACAGTTACATTTCAATACTTCTTCGTTCTTCGGCGCTTCGCTTGATTCCGGAATCTGTCGTCTTTGCAAAAGTCGATCTGGTCGATCTGCGAGATACAAGAAATGAATCAACCTCGTACCCAGGGCCTTTGCGCGGTTCAGAGGCTCTGGTACGGGAAGCAAAGGCCCTGGTAAACACTGGTCACGTGTGTCCAAAAATATTGGACATTTTTGTAACCTGGCCTTATTTAGGTCATGTTATCCCGGGGGGGACGAACAACTGAACATTGCAATGCACGAACTATAAAAGTTTCAAATACAAATGATTTTGCCTTTGATTTCTAAAATATGAATGTATAACAATTGTTTGAAAATTCATATTTTAAAACAACAGACAGCAGATTTTAGGCTTGTTTTTATTTTGATGGAAATTATAAACTTTGAAGTCACATGGATTTTGAATTATGCTATAAAGAATGCAGTATATTCGAGGTAAACGATTTTATGATGCATATATAAAATTATATTCTCATATCTTTTAATTTAATATTTATCAGTTTATATATCCTAAATTCCAGCAGATTCGTGGCTGTCTGTTTGTATAATTAGTTTTCTTCGTTTAATTACTCCGGCCATCTTTCGCTTTTGAATATAAACCCTCCTTCATGCCTGATATATTTTTTGGTTATCTATATCCTTCACTTAGTTCACTAAAATCAAAATTTTATGTTCCAGCTTGCTCAGAAAATATTCAATCTTTCATAACTGGAGTTCTATTTGACATGTAAAATAGTTAGGCAGTACCCTCAGTAAGATACTTATTTAACTGGCTGACCATTATAGTAGTCAAAAGTTAATAAATGAATACATGCAAAAATTACAAATTAACTGCCCTCATACCAATCCATTGGTCTCTGACTCATCCAATAAATACTTAACAGAATAGTGTGATATTAATAGAAAAGTGTAAAAATGCCAACGTTACCCAACTTTGTGTGACAAGAAAGTTAGATTACATTAATTTTACAGTCAGGTATTCTTTTCTTTATCGCCTCAATACTCTGGTTGATGATTCCAGTGGCCCCCATAAAATTCCAGTGGCCCCCATAAATTTCCAATGGCCCCCATAAATTTTACTGGAGAAAATGTTTCCCTCACTTCTTGCCATTAAATCTCCATAGCCCCCAATTTTACCCATCCAAGGGAGAGTCCTGTGTAGTCACACTACAGTAATGGGCATATGGGATAATCAAATATGGCATACTTTGTTATTTTTCTCTGTCCAACACCAGACAATTTTACTTGTCAAGTGTACGATTAAGTGAGTAATAAAAAGTGGCTGGATATTCTAACTTTTGCTCCATATAATTGGACTTTGGTTGTGAGCAAAATGTAAAAAGACAGTTACCAGTAATACTGGCCTTACTACATCCCAATTATTTACCTTGCAACCTTGAGCAGTTGTGCTGTTACAGCAGAATGTGGTTTCAAATGACAGTTATTTTATGGCAATTATGATATTCCAGTGTGCCAGTAAGACATTTGTTTCTCTTTTAGTATTATGTCGAAAAGGTGATTGCAGCTAGGGTATTTAGATCCTGGAGTGATGTGAAATGGCCCTGACCTTGGACAATTAAGTAATATATGATAATATGAGTGGTGTAAAATAGGAAATTTTTTATTCATTCTGATTGACTAATAAAATTAGAATGGTGAGAATAATGATGATGATTAGGTAGTGAAATACAAGTTGTGATGATATTGGTGATGCACATGCAAGTTGTAAGGATACTGCTGATAATGAAAATATATTGTATTTGTAATGAGACATAAATAATAAAGAGATTGGCAGTAATGAATGTGTATGACTTGATCAATTGTGTTGGTGAGAAGGCAATATATTGCCACCTAGATGAATTAAGTCCCATGATGCCATTTTGTGTTCAAAACTAACTGTTCTCATCAGCTCCAAGCATAACTGGGAAAGCTGGTTTCAATCCTGTTAGCTGATCTTGGAACTATGTGCACACATATAAATATTTATTTTTTCCCCTCATGAATTATATTGTTTGCCCAAAAAATCAGTTGATTATTTCATCTAGAAACAGTGTGAATTTTGTTTGAATTTGGTATGTTCACTCTGTGACAAGTGAAAGTGATATGTAATTCATGCATAATATGGTGATTTTTGGTTTCAGGATGTAAAAAATGAAATTTTCTTACTGACAAAATTCAGTGTAACCATATTCATTAAGCCTCTGTGTCTCTCTAAGCCCTACCTCCTCAATACAAATAAAACTCTGCATAGCCGGATAGGACTAAATAGGTTTTTAATTTTGCTGACAAAAGTATGATGCATCAAAACACCCAATTTTTGAGACCATGGTAAAGAGGTAATTATAGTATTCTCAGTAAGTGGAATAATTGACCATCATTATGAAAATTATGTAGGCTGAAGTATTTAAAATGTTTAAGAATGTATAATTGTTGGTTTTTAACCAAAGCCAAAGATATTTGAAAACAAAGTATGATATGTCAGTCTGAGTCTCGGTGTTCAACTATCAGTGTATTATTTGTAAAAAGTGTCGGTAGTCACAATGGTGACAATAACATTTGTGTGGTTAATCTGGTTGAAGCAGAGAATTTAATTGATCTCCTAATAAAAGGCATGTTTTCTTGGGGTTGTAGCAAAGGTCTTTCATGAATTCTAAGACAGCCCATGCAGTTGCCAATTGTATTGAACCAAAGCTACTAGACAGGGTTCAATTACAGCTTTTTTTCAAGATATTCTTACAGTATATACTATAAGATGCAACTGACAAATGAAGTATTTCAGAAAAATATTTACCCTAAAATTATTAGTGACTTGTACCGTGACTAATATTATGTTACAGCTTTGGTTCAAATTTCATAAATCATGAACCGATGTACAGTAACTGCAAATGTAAACAAATAGGTGAATGCACACCCAGTATACAAACTGTTATTTGCCTTTAAGACTCCTAAGTCACATATCACTAATATCAGATTCGTAGTAAATTTGTTGTTTCAAGATCACTGTATATTATTTCTCAGGATTGGTACCCCCCCCCCCCTCCTTCCAGACAAACAGAAATATAGATGATACATCCCAAAAAAATAAATATGAAATTAACTCACACACACAAAGGTTTCAAGATACTGTGTATAATTTCATTCACAACTGTATTTTAAACTACATACATACGGAAACCAACCTGTCACTCGACCAGTTAATTGTTTCAAAATATTCTGCTTTGATAACTACATGTTTTATAATACACATGAAGAATTTCGTTTCCATAGATGTCCCCTGACTCCCCTCTGATCTGATTTATCCTTCCATAAAAGTACAATAAAATCCCAAGTGATATTCTTTGGTCAATACATAAAAATTACTTATAATCAACAATGTTTGTTTAATTCTTTATAAAACGTCGCACACAAGCAGCTGCATTGGATACAAAATAGACAGTTTAAAGACAGATCACTCGACTAGTTTTCTCTCAGTTTGATCTTCGTCCTTCGATCTTTGATAAGTATTACCGTTAGCTATTCCGTAATTTGTTGAAAGAAAGCTCGTAGAATGCATAGATAATATATACCCACTCTTAAATCTCACTAGGAAAGTTTTATTTATCATAATAATATAAAAACTCGAAAACGTCGCGCCTTCGCACTGCCATGTTTGATAAAATCAATCGGCTCCGCTCCCCCCGGATTGAAAACTAAATTATTACGAAATGTCCAATATTTTTGGACACACGTGACCAGTGTTTACCAGGGCCTTTGCTTCCCGTACCAGAGCCTCTGAACCGCGCAAAGGCCCTGGGTACGAGGTTGGAAATGAATTATGGATATTAATCACTGAGCTGTATATACTGCGGATTCAGGTAGACCGTGAAATGCGAATAGTTGTCGCGTTAGTTTTAACAGTTGTACGATGACGTTTCTAGGCAGATTTTCGACGTTTCTAAGGCGTGGCTTCAACGTTTAGTTTTAAAATTTGAACGTTGTAATTACAAGGTAATTGCTAAATAATATACTTCAAAATAAGGTTTCCGTTTTTATAACGTAGAAAAAATCATCCTAACGCAAAACTAAACCCTTACCTAACCCTAACTTATTTAAAAAATTGATATAAAAACGGAAACCTTATTTTGAAGTATATTATTTAGCAATTACCTTGTAATTACAACGTTCAAATTTTAAAAATAAACGTTGAAGCCACGCCTTAGAAACGTCGAAAATCTGCCTAGAAACGTCATCGTACAACTGTTAAAACTAACGCGACAACTATTCGCATTTCACGGTCTACCTGAATCCGCAGTAGTATAGCTCAGTGGTATTAACCACTGAGCTCTACTATATTAACTTCAAGGATGTTTATTTGTATCACGCTATTGTCTTATATAACTCTTTTTGAAGCCAATTCCCACTTCTGTTCTCGTAGTGTAGTGGTTATCACATCCGCTTTACACGCGGAAGGTCCCAGGTTCGAACCCTGGCGGGAACATTTTTTTTAATACGACACTGTAATTTTTTTCTTGATTTTTTCTCCAAATGCTCTGATTTTCATTCCAGAAAACGTTTTTATCTATGGCAAAAATTGCACTTAAAATTAATTATTGGACTATTTATTCCAAACGTTTTAAATACAATCACTAAATAATTTTTTTTTTAATTAATATTTAATTTCAGGAAGCTTTCTCACATTATAAACTATTTTACAAACACATGCATATACTACATAACTATGAAAAATATTTAAAAAATTATACGAGGGAATGTTCAAAGATTGCTAAAAAAGTTTAAAATTTTCATTGATGAAATAATAAATAGAGAGGAACTTAAACTCATGATCAAAATAAGCACTGAAATGTTTTAAATCAATTCTTCTGAAGTTAAACCGTAGCTTTCTTTACTAAAAATAAAGCAAGCACTGAGAAAAATCGATAAAAGATTTGAAAAAAGTGTTCTCGCCAGGGCTCGAACCTGGGACCTTCCGCGTGTTAAGCGGATGTGATAACCACTACACTACGAGAACCGACGCTCAAACTCTTGATATTGTTGAAATATCCCTGTTTTTAACTATAAACAATGCAAAAGTCAGGAAAAGTCATGTTCTAATTTTGTGGCTTGTATACATTATACAATAGTAAAATAGTACACAGTACCGTGGTTTAATATGAAATATTTCATAAACCGCGGTTGAAGATTTATCATTTCTCAGTGTAGCAGCCGCGACTTCCGGCTGACGGACTTCCGGGTTTTTCGCGCCATTTTTAGATTGAAGTAGCTTAGCGATATCGAACTTTGGGGCGCTTTGTTGTGTTGCGGACTTGTTCCTACGTTTTTCGCCAGATACCAGTGTCCTGTCATAGATATTTGTAAGTAGATTGTCAGTATTTATATCTGTTTCTGTCCAGTATTCAGT